AGAGGGGGTGGGGGTGGGGGAGGAAGACAGAAAGAGCCAGAGAGAGCAAGGAGGTGGGAGGAGAGGGGACAGTAAACCACTGTTCTATAAGTCTCAGGAGGCAAGTGCTCAAGGTAAAAAAGAGTCCTGGAGAATCGTCCGCGGCTGCGGGAAGCATCTCGATTTCCTTCTGTGTAGAAGTCCTTGGGGGGTAAAGGCTGCCGCCGCTGCCGCTGCATTAAATAGTTATGTACATCGCAGAGAGTCCCAGGCCGTAGGCAGGCGGGAGAAGGGGGTCATTTCACCAGGGGCCGAGTCTTATCATCATCGCCACACTGATGGGCTTTGTACTTTTTCACCTCTGCCATGTACTTGGCCCACGCGTCACCTTTACTTGTTAATACCTGTGGGGGGGGGCACACAGGGGTTGCAAAGGGATACCAAGGAGGCCAGGAACTGGGGTCAGGACTGTCCTGAGACAGCTGACACCCCCCCACACACACACACCTCCATCCCATGTTACCCTTAAGGTCCTGGGTTTGAAGTAAAGATGTGCAGACTCAATTTATCTGGGGAAACTGCTGAAAGCCCTCCTCCCCCACCAGCCCCCACATCCAAGGCCCCAGGGGCTGGACAGAAGGGAAAGGGCTCAGCAGCCAGACACTGAGGCTGGAAGGGAAAGGCACTGCGGGTGGCCCCCCTCACCCAGCCTGCTCACCTCATCCTCCGTCTTCTGCTTCTTGGCTACTATTCCCGTCTTGAGGGCTAGTTTGTTTCCGCCTCTGCGCTTGCCCACCTGGGTGAAGGGACAGAAGACTGCAACGGTTACAGGAGCCGGGCCCGGCCTTGGCGGCGCTGAGGCCCACTACACCTTCCTAGCCCGGCCCGGTGGCCCGTCCCGACGCCGCGCCCAGCTCCGCCAGCCGGCCGACCTGCGCAGCAATCAGAGAGGAGCACACGCGACTCTTAGCGCCTGCCCTGGGCCCATGATGCCCTGGCAGTCGTGGGCCCCTGGGCTGCCCTCCCCAAAAGCAAGAAGAACCCCCACATCAGCGGGGACAGGCTGCCCTCACCCTCCCCTAGCAGGGACCACACAGGCAACAACAGCTTCCTTTACTGAGCACTCACTGTATGCTAAGCTCTGTGCCAAGTACTTTGATGTATCATCCTTCACTTTCACAGCTGCTCTAAGAGGAAGGTTACAACCATCCCCATTTTATAGATGAGGGAACACCTTCGAGAAAGAAGAGAGCCTACCCTTGGTTGACAGCAAGCAGTGGAACTGGATTCAGGGTCTGATGGGTCCACGTCACAGAGCAGCATCCTTACCCAACAAAGGACACTGTGTCCCCTGCACCTAACCTGGCCTCTTTAAGGTGCCCCTCGATGAAGAAATGTGAAAAAGGCAGTGACAACTACTGCTACTCCCACTCACAAAGGGTCACTCGGCCTCCACCTCTGGTTCTTACACCAAGCCAGGAACCTAGAATCCTGACACTCTCCCTTCCTCCAAAAGAAGTCTCACTCTAGACCTCATCTTGGTCCTCCACCTTCTCCCACTGAGCACTTTCTGTGTCCACGGGCAGCAACAGGCTTTACGGACATCCTCCCATCTCTACCCCTCAGCCAGCATCAAGTAACCCGTGCTGCTGGGATTATCCCCACTCACTTTTAACAAATGAAGAAAATGAGGCTTGGAGAGGTTAAATCACTTGCCCAAAATCACATTGTTGGAGCTAAGACTTGACCTCCAGTCTGTTACTCTCAAGTCAACACTTTTCTCCACACCACAGAGACTTGATCCCTGAACAAATTAATACCTGGGCTGTGAATTAGCTACTTTTTTCTTTTTTTTTCCCCTTTCTTTCTTTCTTTCTTGGTTATTAAAGAAACTTTTAAGTACGTCTTTTTTGGGGCGCCTGGGTGGCTCAGTTGGTTAACTGACTGCCTTCGGCTCAGGTCGTGATCCTGGAGTCCCGGGATCGAGTCCCGCATCGGGCTCCCTGCTCGGCAGGGAGTCTTGCTTCTCCCTCGAACCCTCCCCCCTCTCATGCTCTCTCTCTCATTCTCTCTCTCTCTCAAATAAATAAAATCTTTTAAAAAAAAAGTCCTTTTTTTTTTTTTTTTTAATAGGCTGTACACCCAACGTGGGTCTTGAACTCTAGACCCTGAGATCAAGAGTCGCGTGTTCTACCGACTGAGCCAGCCAGGGGCCTCCAGGGACTTGATCTCAATACCAGAAACAAAGCAGGCTCAGAGTTGACCATCAATATAGTTACCATTTATTTAGCCTAGAGTTTCTTGACCTCATACTAGTGACATTTTGAGCTGCATCATTTTTGCGGGGTGGGGGGAGCTATCCTGTGCATTGTAGGACGTTGAGCAGCATCTCTAGTCTTTACTCAGATATGTCAACAGCACCCCTCCCCCAATTCTGACAACCAAAAATTTCTCCAGACTGCCAAATTGAGGGGACTTGGGGGAGGAGGAGATTGTTCATTCCCAACTAAAAACCACTGGTGGTTTAGCCCTTCGTTTAAGACAAACCCTGTACTAACCTCCGGGATGGCCTCACAGAACCCTCATCACATCACAAGATGCGATGGTAACCATTTTTGCAAATGGGAAAATTGAGGGTAGGCCAGCCCAGACACTCCAGGAAAACGATCTTGTCATGTTGAACACGGCACATCCAGCACCCAGCACAATGCTCAGCATAAGGTATGGTGCTCAATAAATGGACACTGGACAAACGAGACTCAGGGAAACACAACAAATTTCCTCAGGTCACAGAGTAAGCACTGAGTCTCTAATCCACACAGCTGAGATTCCGGATTTGAATTTGCCCCTCTTCCCCATAGTGGGAGATGGTCCCAGTATCCAAGTTTAAGTACCACTCAAATAGGAATCCCGGTATCCTGATTTCCCCATCCCCGGAGCACTGTTTCGGATGCCATTCTCCTGGCTCCCGGTCCCCGCGGGCGGGCTCCGGGGGTCCCCACCCCCGCCCCCAAACCTCTCGTCGAGAATCCAGGTTCCGGATCCTCAGCGGGCGACCCGACGGCCCCCTCATCGGGGCCGGAGGGTAGACCTGGATCCCGATTCCCTTTCTCGGGCCCCGATTCCCTCTGCCAAGGCAGGCCCCGGCGCCCGCCCCCACCCCCGCGGCTCCTTACGAAGCTGAGCGTGGGGCCCGGGCCGCCCTTCCTCTTCAGATCCCCAGGGCCCGCGGCGGCGGCGGCGGCGGCAGGCTGGTCGGGTCGCGGCGGGCCCGGGGGCGGCTCCTCCTGCCGCTGCCGCTGCTCCTCCTCCATCTTCCGCTTGAACAGCTCCAGGAAGCTGCCGTCGTTGGCGAACAAGTTCACACCGCCCGACACCGGGCTAGAACCCGCGCCCGACGCTTCCTCGTCCCCGCTCTCGGGCGACGTCCCGGGCCCCGACTCAGCCCATCGGCTCCCGACAGCGCCGCCGCCCGCGGGGCCCGGCGCCTCCCGGCCCGGAGGCTCCGCCCGTCTCCCTCGGGCAGCCATTTTGTCGCCAGGTGCCGCGCAAAGGACTCCGGGAAGGCGGCTCCGGCCCGGCGCTTGGCGCCCGACTTGCCCCGTCCCGGGCAATGCATGCCGGGAAGAGCGATCTGGCCCTCAGGCGTCCGCAGTAGGGGCGGAGTAGAAGGGGCGGGGCGAATAAGGGGTAAGACCTGACGCCACGGGCCCGCCCCGCCAGCCACGCGGATTTTTTATAATCCAGCTAGATTTGGGCGGTTTCCCCGGGACTGGAACCATTGTCTGAGACTGGGGCTGTAGCTGGCTCTACGGAGTGAGGTTCCCACTTGAAACTGGGGGCACATTACCTTTCCGGGGCTAGGATCCCCTTCTGGTACCAGGGATACTCTCTGAGGGAAAGGACCCCGTCTGAGACTGTGTGTTCAACTGACACCTCGAAACCGAGGTCCCGAACTCGGTCTAGAGGGCAGATATCTAGCCTAGACACGCACACACACACCCTCCCGACTAGAAATGGGGATATCTCTGGTTTGGTTGGGTACCTGTCTCTGGGATGGAGCTCTCATTTGGGAATGGAAATACAGTTGGCTCCGTGGAGTTGGGGTCCCCACTGAGAATAAGGGTGTTATGGGCTGGAATACTCAAATGAAGTCGCGGGTATTTTTAGGCTATAGTCTATCTAAGGTTAAGAGTGTTCGCCAAAGGCTTGGCGCTCAGCTTGTATTCCTACCCAGGACAGAGATTCAAACAGGGAATCCGCTAGGGTCTCCCCTCGAACAGGAAGCAAAGTGCAAGAAGGTTTCCGGGAATAGGGTCCCTTCTATGACGAGGAGCACAGTTGTAGGTGTGGTCCCTGCCCTGGCCTGCCCAGCATGGGGCTCAGGGCGCACTGGACGAAGATCGGCGGACCTTGCCCACAACTGGAGTTGTTCTCCCTCTAATCCACATGCAGTCCAGGGACCTGTCTTCAGCCAACTAATCGGTTCGTCTCTGATTGGTTTGCGTCAAGAGCCGGGTGGCTCACAGCCAATTGGATAGCAGAGGAGACGGACCTGAGGCGATGTTGGGACCCAGTTTGGAGAATAAGGACAAATGATCGACAAGAAGTTGAACCTATGGAGTCAGGCCAGGGCGGACCTCGGATCTAACTTCATGGAAAGGGCATGGACTGGGTGTTTGGCTGGTTGCTAAGGCGAGGTTTGGCGGCTACCGGGAGGTGAGAATGATTGGTGAAAGTGAGAAAAAATGTAGCCAATGAAAGGAGAGCTGAGAGACTTGGGAGCCAATCAGAGAAGGGGAGTAGTCTGAAAAGTACCAATATGTTAATTCGGCAGGGGGAGTCTTTGAAAAAACTTGGACAAGAGGGCGACTAAGTGAACCCTAGAAGCGAAAGACCTTGGAAATATAGTTTCTATTATCTCCTAAAAATCAGGCCATGAGGAAATTAATTCAGGCTCCTAGGTTTGATGGGTATGTGCTAGGCAATTTCCCCTGTAGGTTCTTTTCGTGGTGCGCTCCGCCTGATCACGTGAGCCGGTTCCAAGATGGCGGCAGGGGTGGCCGGGTGGGGGGTTGAGGCAGAGGAGTTCGAGGATGCGCCTGATGTGGAGCCGCTGGAGCCCACGCTTAGCAACATCATCGAGCAGCGCAGCCTTAAGTGGATCTTCGTCGGGGGCAAGGGTGGCGTTGGCAAGACCACCTGCAGGTAAGGAAGCTGCGGCGGGGGCCGGGAAGACGGGTGGGATGTACCACTGGGCGAAGGGGAGGTTCGGGACTGGCTCTTCCACCCCAAAGCCGAGCAAAGGGGCTGGGCCGGGGTCTTCCGGATCGTACTCCCGGAAGTTACCTGGGGCAAATGGAAGGTAGTGCCTGAATGCAGGCTTGGAACCCTCTGTTTTGGACCGCCCCCGTTGGGGTTCAAGGGTAGAACCATATTGAACCCAGCGCACGGGACGCAGGAGAGCACTTAGGTGTCCCAATCTGCTGGACGGTACCAGAGTGAGCTTGGAGTAGGGGGGAGGGGCAAGCTATCCTAGTCTGGTGAACCTTGCCATTCTCTGGCCACGTGGGGGTAGAGGTGGTAGGCGCGAGGGGAGGCACGTGATTAGACCAGACCAGTCGGCTGGGAGGAGGGGGAGGGGTCCCTGGGGCAAATTACCCCGAACTAGTGGACTGAACCATCCTGAATTTAGCAGGCGATGCAAGGGACCCCTTAGCTTAGCGTTTAGGGAGGGGGCACAGGGTCAAGCTAGGCTGGCTGGACAGCTGGACCGTGCCACTCTGTGCCAACAAAGAAGCAGCAGGCATCAGGCCAGACCGGCCCGGACAGCTGAACCTTACCACTGTAGTCACCCAGAGGGGTCGGTAGGTGAAGTCTGAGAGGGTCCCTATACAGGGATTAAGTCTTGATTCCACAGTTACCCATATTCTGTCTCAAGGCCCCTGTTAATCCAGGTCCCCTGCTCCTGGGCCCTATATAACCCCTTGCAGACCTAGGTAGCAGAGCCTGACCCCTCACTCCCTGCCTTTTGACCTTTACCTTGCCCAGCTGCAGCCTAGCGGTCCAGCTGTCCAAGGGGCGGGAGAGTGTTCTGATCATCTCCACCGACCCAGCCCACAACATCTCCGATGCATTTGACCAGAAGTTCTCCAAGGTGCCCACCAAGGTCAAAGGCTATGACAACCTCTTCGCCATGGTGAGTGGAGGTGGGCTCAGCTCCCCACTCTGGCAAAGGCCCTTCAGGCCCTCTCTGTGAACACCCACCATCAGCTACCATGCCTTGCCTGTTCTGCATCATCCCTCAGCATACCCATAGGAGAACGAATGAGGAATGTTTGCAGAGCAGAAAGGAGGCCGGAGTGACCGGAGTTTAGCGAACAAGGGGAGGGAAGGAGATGTCATAGGTCAATCACAGCTACGTGGCATAGGACCTTACAGGCCCCTGGGAGCAGTTATGTTTGATTCCAAGTTTAATAGGAAGCTGTTCGTTTTAAGCAGGGCAGTGTCATGGCCAAATTCATTTTTCAGAAAGTTCCCTGTGACTGCCGTGCAGAGAAACTCGGGTAGGGGCAGAATGTTGGGATAAGTGGTCACATTTGGAATGTATTTTGGAATTAAAGCAACACAAATGTTTGGTTGTAATGGGCAAGGGAAAGAAGTGAACTAAGTACGTCTCTTAGTTGGCTCCCTCGACAGCCGGGATGGGGGCAACTAGGAGAGAAGCAGGTTTCGACGGGACAAACAAGGAATTCCATTTTGGTCCCGGTGAATCAGGGTGCCCACTGGACATCCAAGTGGCGATGCCAGGACAGTGGCTTAGTTATGTGAGATATGTGAGCTTGGAAGAGGTTGGGGTTGATTTGGGAGTCATCGTCTCAAGGATGGTATTTAAAGCTGCGCGAGTGGAGGAGAATGAGAGAGAACGGAGAAGCCCAGAAACAAACTCAGGTCACATCAACATTTAGGGCCCAGCTGGGGGGAGGGGTGCAGGGACCAGTGAGGGAGGCCAAGAAGGAGCCACGGGTGAAGTGGGAGGAAGCCAGGCATCGCGAGCTCCTGAGCTCCAGGACAGAGGGACTCGGTGGGAAGAAATAGTGGGCTTCAGCAGGCACATCAGATCTAGAGAGACCACTCTGGGAATGGGGGATGGGGGCAAAAGCCAGCACAGAGTGGGTGAGCTGAGGAGTGGGGACAGTGGTCGCCATGAAGGTGGCTGAGAAATAGGGCCATTGCTGGAGGGAGCTGAGGGTGGGTGGTGTTAAGGAGGCTTTTTGGGGGGGTGGGGAGAGAAAGGAGATGCCAGAGCGTGTTTGTTTGCTGATGTAAACGCTCCAACAGGGAGGGACAAGTGATGCTGTGGGAGGGAGCAAGGAGGCTGGCAAAGGACGGTCCTCAGGCAGGTAGGTGGGGGCGAGCTCCATTCAGCTCACAGACCCAGGGCATGGAAGCAGGGCAAGGCAGGGCAGGGGGATGGGGTGGACACGGGGACATTTCCTGGGAGGAGATGAGGGTGTTGGCAGCCAGTGGCTTCTTTTTCCAATCGGACACAGCACTGGTCTCAGCAGAGGGCAGGGGGTGAATGGGACGGATGGGGTGTGAGGAGAAAGAAGAAACTCCCGAGGGTGTGCTTGGCTTGAGTGCCTGTTGGGGAGTTGTGTTCAGGAATGGGGAGCGACGTGGGAATTATTCGGCAAGTGTGTTCCCCAGCTGTTCACCTCAGTGCAGCCATACCAGAGAGCTGGGAATAACCAGGGTGGGGATGTTGCCAGCCATGGGGAGAAGGGAGTGTTTGCAGAGGCACCCTCTGGAGCCCAGGCTGGATAAGGGTGCCGGCCACAAGGGACACTGACAGTGAACAATGGGACAGGGGTATGGGGACAAGATGGCCCAAAGAGGTAGGAGGCAAGGAGGCCCAGGTCAGAGAATGAGGTGTGGGAGCTTAGAGGTGGCCCAGTTACTGGCAGTAACCCATCAAGGGTGTGACTGTCGGGGGTGATGGGTAGGCATGCTCCCTCAGGGAAATGACCTCTGAGGCCAGCGAGTTGGGGGCTTCACCGTGGGACCTGTGAAGTCACCAAGAGGTGACATGGGAGGGGGATGGAGAGAGAGGCACTGAGTCCAGAGCAGACCAGACACCCCAGGGACAATCATCCCTTCATGGATTCTGCATACATGTTGAGGACTCACTGTGGGCTTCGCGGTGCTGACAGCTGATAAAGGTGATAAACGTGCTGAGTAAACCATGTGAGCGGGGGCTCGGTGTTAAGGAGAAATGAAGGCAGGGCACGGGGAGCTGGGGCGACGTTGTTAGATGGGATGGTCAGGGAGGGCTCCAGTCAGGGAAATGATCTGGAACGAGGTCGGGGCCCCATTTGGGGAATGGCCAATGCAGGGGCCCAGCCATGGGCTCTTGACTTCCCTCTGGGGCACTGATCACAGTTTACAGTTTTCCATCTGCCTGTGAAATGGTTTGACCACTCGTGTGACCACACGAGACCCGAAGTGCCTCGGGGGTATCCCCAGCCATGAACTGATGAAGGTTGGTATTCGGGGCCCTTCATGGGCTCTTTCGCCTGGAGCTTGGGTGGGAAGGTCCAGCGGCGGCAGCGGCCTGCATCTTGACCCCTCGGCCCTCAGGAGATTGACCCCAGCCTTGGCGTGGCCGAACTGCCTGACGAGTTCTTCGAGGAGGACAACATGCTCAGCATGGGCAAGAAGATGATGCAGGAGGCCATGAGTGCCTTCCCCGGCATTGACGAGGCCATGAGCTACGCAGAGGTCATGAGGTCAGGCCCTGCCAGCGGGGGGCGGTGCTGCGTAGGGCTGGGCTGGAAGGGGGCAAACAGGCCTGAACCTCCTCTCCCCTGCAGGCTGGTGAAGGGCATGAACTTCTCGGTGGTGGTGTTTGACACGGCGCCCACAGGCCACACACTGAGGCTGCTCAACTTCCCCACCATCGTGGAGCGGGGCCTAGGCCGCCTCATGCAGATCAAGAACCAGATCAGCCCCTTCATCTCCCAGGCAGGCAGGACCCCGGGGCGTCCAGGCACTCCCCGTGTCAGAGTGTGCAGACGTGCAGTGACAGAGGCCTTTCCCACACACGCCCTCTCAGTCTGTGGTTCCCCACTGGATGGGATGGGTCTCCACCACGGGGGTCGAGGGGACTGTCCGCCTACTCTGTAGGAATCGTGTCTTGCCCCCCCCCGCCCCCACAGAGTGCTCCAGACCAGAGCTTGAAATCACGTATTCCAGAGCCAGGTGGCCCGGGCTCAAATGCTTTACAGTCTGATGTGACACGACTCTGGGACCTCAAGCAAGTCACTTCACTTCCCTGGGCCTCACCTTCCTTGTCTGTCAAATGGAGGCCATACGGGTGTCCCATGGGTGGTTATTAGCATGACAACATGACAAGCCCAATGCCCCCACATTTAGGCACACCACCACCACCACCCTCTCCCTGGTGGTGTGTGGTCAGTACAACAGCTGTTGGAGGTAAGGTCTACATGTGGGGAAACTGAGGCTCCAGGAAGTCAAGCCCCCTGGCCGCAGTCCCCCAGAAATGGCCAAGCTGGGTTGACCCCTGTGGTCTGCTTGAGGAACTTTAACCCCAGGAGATGTCAGTCCCCAACCCGGGTGCTGTGGAGGCACCCCAGGTAAGCTGTGAGCCTCCCACGTCCTCCCCACAGATGTGCAACATGCTGGGCCTAGGGGACATGAACGCAGACCAACTGGCGTCCAAGCTAGAGGAGACGCTGCCCGTCATCCGCTCGGTCAGCGAACAGTTCAAGGACCCTGTGAGTCATGGTACGGGCGGGTGGTGAGAGGCTTGGGATGGGGACAGGGCCAGAACTTGCCCCTCGCTGTCCTCTCTCACGCCCTGCAGGAGCAGACAACGTTCATCTGCGTGTGCATTGCTGAGTTCCTGTCCCTGTACGAGACGGAGCGGCTGATCCAAGAGCTAGCCAAATGCAAGATCGATACCCATAACATCATCGTCAACCAGCTCGTCTTCCCTGACCCTGAGAAGCCCTGCAAGATGTGTGAGGCCCGCCACAAGATTCAGGCCAAGTACCTGGACCAGGTGTGCATGCCCAACTGCCTGCCCAGCCCTCACACCTTTGACCCTGGGAGTTGGGGCCTGGCCCAGCCCAACCAAGGCCCCACGGATCATTTACTGTATTCTCTGACCTTTTACTCCATCCTGTCTTCTAATCCTCTGCCCCAACCTCCTGCTCCTCACCCTAACTCTGTCTCTTGAAGACAATAGCTGGCCTGGTCTGGGTACCTCTGACCCCAGGGAGGGGGAGGCCCAGCCCAGTAATCTCTGACCTCACTGGTCTCACTCCCACCTATCAGCATTTGAAGCCCCTGCCCCACATTCTCCCCTGATCCTGGAAGGTCCCCAACCTGACCCCTCCCATTGACCCACATTCTGTCCCTGCCCTGCAACCCCCTGACCGCCACCATCTGCCCTATGCCCTGGCCACAGATGGAGGACCTGTACGAAGACTTCCACATTGTGAAGCTGCCGCTGCTGCCCCACGAGGTGCGGGGGGCGGACAAGGTCAACACCTTCTCTGCCCTCCTCTTGGAGCCCTACAAGCCCCCCAGTGCCCAGTAGCACTGCTGCCAGCCCCAGTCGCTACCATTTCACACCCACCCTCCACCCCCCCGCCGGGGGGGGCAGAGTTTGCACAAAGTCCCCCCCCATAGTATAGGGGGAGCCACTTGGGGGGCGGGGGGCGGGGAGGAGGTCTGTTCCCCCTGGTGGGGCTGAGGGGGCTGTAGCTGCCCCCCACCTCTCCCTGCCTCTCGCCCCTCAATAAAATGATCTTAAACCACTATGGATGTTGATATAGAGGAGTTAGGGGTCAGCACCTTTATGTACAGTTGCACAGGTTGTACACTGCACAAAGATGGCACATTTAGAGGGACCAAGTCACACCAGAGATCTAATAGAGATGTATGTTTATTATGGTAATTTTGGAAGGAGAGTATCTTCAGTAAGGGGGTGTGCTTTTCTAACTCTGGTAGTGGTGTCCCTGCTGGGGCTATAAAACCTATAGTAGAAGGGGAGCATCTGCCCACTTCCTTTGAGGTTCAGAGCGTGGGAACTGGGAGGCCCCTTGGCCATCCCTAGGCTGGTGGGGAACGGATTAGGCCGGCAGCGGGCCCAGCACTGCCTGCTGTTTGGTTTGGGAATTAGTGGGCGCCCTGGGCAGAGGTTGGGCCTGCCAGACTGAGGATTAACAGTCTCCACCCCCCAATTCCTGTTCCCATGGGATGGCATCAGCCCTTCCCAGCACAGGGCTGCAACGGGGGCTAATTAGGAGGCAGGATGGCAGAGGACTTGGGTCAGGTGGGCCCCTGAAGTCCTGTCTGCCTCCAGAGCGGCCTCGCTCAGTGATAGGCAGCATGCTTCCTGGGGTTTGAGCTCTGCTCCCTTTATCCCTAAAATGGAAACATAAAGTGTGGTCATTCAGAATCATGGGAAAATTCGCCAGACCCTGGAAGGGTTTAGCACACCAGCTTGGAAGGCACTTAGTGGGCTCCCATATCCCTTCACTCCTCCCTCTGCCACTGCCTGGACAGCCAGTGTCATCCCCACTTGAGAGACCCAAGACTGGGGCAGTGACGTTGAGCATTTGCAATTTCCAAGGCCGTGCTGGTTCGAGGGGACAGAAAGGATTCCTGAGGACAAGCATGAGTCAGGAAGTGGTGTTCAGGCTGCACACAGGTGTGCGTGTAAGGGGAACCCAGCCCCAAGCCTAGACGTGCCACCCCCCCCCGCCACTATTCCACTGGGTGTGGACAGGTTGGGGTGGCCCTTGTAAACAAACACAGTGGTGCAACCTGTGACAGACCCCAGGCTCCGAGCGAAACTGCCTGGGTTCAAAAACTAGCTGTGCCACAAACAAGCTGTGTGTCATCTGAGCCTCAGTTTCCCTACCTGGATAGCAGGAATAACAAAGGCACCAATTTCTTACGTCCGCTTGTAAGGACTCAATGAGATGAAATAAGCAGAGCCTTTACAACAGCACCAGGCACGTAGCCGCCAAGGAGTGTTTGTTATTCTTCACTGTAACAATTATTAAGCATGTTAACTAGCTCGGGCAACCTGCCCCGGGGCCGGCGGGGGGCCAGCAATCAGAGGTGTGTGGGGACACGTGAGTTGGGGGCGGGTGGCTGAGCAAGGAGTAGGGGCGAGCTGTAGTGCGTGTAAGGACATGTCCTAGGAAGTGGGGGCCTCTGCTCAGAAACCGAGAGCATCCTCTTGAAGCCAGTGCCCTCCCCCAGGCCCTGAAGCTAGCCGCGCCACTCCCTCTCCCCCTTTTATGGGCTGTCCGGCAGCTGGACAGCGGAGATTTGGGTCTGAGGGTGGCCGGTCCGGGCCAGTTCCTAATTACCCGGGGCAGGGCAGACATCTGCCAGGCCGGGAACACAGTGTCCTGGCTGGCAGGGCTGCAGGGCGGGGCTGCAATGGGCCTCCTAGTGCGCACGGTGAACACAAGGGGCTTTAAGGGTGCCCCTCTTAGGGTCGGAACTCTGAGCCTCCGCACCTTCCACACTGGGTTATGAGTCTGATGTTGGGAGTAAGGGGGCTATTTGTGTCAGGCCGGGGGTGCCCCCTTTGTAGGTGTGTCTGTGAAGGGGCAGCATCTGTCTACACCCATGCCAAATTTGGGGACAAGGTGTGTCCCCAAGCTTGTGTGTTCATAGCAATACTGAGAGTGAGACCTGAGATGTGTGTATGGTTGAGGGAGCACTGGGGAGAGAGTGTCTTATGCAATAATGTGTAAATGCAGGTGAATTTTATGGAGGGGTATGGGCATGAGCCCATCTAGTTAGAAGGCTCTGCGGGACTGTAGGGGAGGGGTCTCTGTTGTCTGTGTGAAGGCATTCTGGGGTCTCTGCTTAGCAGTTGTGTGACATTGCATGTGTCTTTGTTACATGGTGCCATCGTGAGGGAATGCAGGGTCCCAGGCCCCTGCCCGTGTGCTCCTGAGTGGCCGGAGTACCATATGGATGGATACCTGAGAGCCGAGAGCCTGGTGGGTTGGGGTCCGTCTGCCTGTATTGAATGTTGGGGGTGGGTAGAGCTACACGTGTCTTCTGTGACTTTGTAAGTCTGTAACAGTGTATACTGCACTCTGGGTTACCGTGGTTGTGGGAGGCTGTGTTAAAAGAAGTTAAATTTGTGTCTGGGTCTACGGTGTGTGTTCCTATGTGCATCCTCGTGACGGTGTGTGATTATGGCGGCTGTGGAGTGACACAGCCTCACTGAACAGTGTGTGTGTGTCTCTGGAACTGGGAAGGAGACAGTCACTGCCCCCTCCCCCAGCTTAGGTCCAAGATCCCTTGGACCTGCCAGTGACTAAGAGAGAGAGACAGGGAGGAGCAAGGGAGGACAGGGTGGATTGGGCCCCCTGCCCCAGGTAACAAACTGGCAAGACTTCTCCAAACAAACTTCTGAGGCTGTGGCCAAGGGGGGGGCGGGCCAGGGAGGGGCTGCCCACGCCCACTCCCCAGCCCCCTCCCCCCCGGGGTCTGGCCTCAGCCCCACCTAACGCTGAGTTCACCCGCCCATTCTGTCCCTGGCCCCGTTTGTCTCTGCGCCCTCCACCAGGTGAGAAGGGCCCAGGCCTGGGGTAACAGAGGATCCTGAGGACAGATGGGTCCTCAGGCAGGAATCCATCCGACTTCTCAGGGTGGGGAGCTGAGGGCTCTGAAGGCTGGAGGGGATTGGACAGATGAAAGGTCAAGGTGGGTCCAAGAGAAGGGGGAAGGGGCAGAGCCAGGGCCATTAAGTGGGGAGGTGGGTAGGCTCGGGCAACTGTGTAGGGGAGAGACCAGCCAGGGGAGAGGGCCTGGGGTACAGGGCCTGGGGGAACTGGAAGCTTGGGGATTGGGCTTCCAAAGGCTTCAGAAGGGAGTGCGGGGGTGGAGGATGGACTGAGAATGGGAGCTGTAGGAGTGGGGTGGGGGACGGGCAGAGATGGGACCTGAAGAAGGGGATCGAGGCTGGGGAAGAGCTGGAGTCCTAAGACTCTAGAAACTGAGGCGCTGGGGACTCAGGAAGTGGGGAAGGCTGTAGATGGGAGCCCAGGTAAGGAGGGCTACTGGGGCTGATCGGTGGACCCAAGGGTCTTGGGGATGGAGGATGGAGGGAGAGGGCCAGGAGAGGTAGACGCAAGGCGCTGGGACCAGGAGTCCTGGGAAGAGGGAGGCCTGCGGGAGGGGGCTTGGGAAGGACTGGGGGCTAGGGCGGGACTGAGTGGGCCTGGGAGGAGACCGGAACCTGGGCTGGAGACCCCAAGCTGAGTCGGCCCGCACCTCTCCGGCCCTGCCCGCAGCCCGGGGGACCCTTTCCTCCACCCACAGTCTGGGGTCCGGTTCAGCTCCCTCTCCTTCGGCGCAGCCGGCCCGGCACTGCGATGACCGTCACCTACACAGCCCGCGTGGCCAATGCGCGCTTCGGCGGCTTCTCGCAGCTACTGCTGCTGTGGCGCGGGAGCATCTACAAACTTCTGTGGCGCGAGCTGGTCTGTTTCCTGGGGCTCTACATGGCGCTGAGTGCCGCCTATCGGTGAGGCGGCCCTGGGGTGGGGGACGCGGGGGGGGGGGAGCGGACTAGGGAAGGGACCTTGGGTGTGTCCAGGAGGGAGGCTCTCCTGTAACCCCCTGCCCCCTCCCTCGCAGCTTCGTGCTGACGGAAGGGCAGAAGCGCTACTTCGAGAAGCTCGTCATTTACTGTGACCAGTATGCCAGTCTCATCCCAGTTTCTTTCGTGCTGGGTGCGTTTGCTCCTGAGTTCCCCATTCCCCTAATACTAAGAAACCCATTTCCAGGCCTTATGGAGACCCCATTCCTCAGAAGACCCCCCTCAAATCCAACCCCAACAGACCCCTATTTCTACATCTTTCATGCCAGGTGTGGCCCCAATTTCCAGAGACCTTGGATGTCACCTGGTTACAGTAAGCCATGAGAGCTCCGTGTCACCCATAGGCTTAATCCCTGGTCATCTCAGGGTCTCCCATCTGTGTCTGCATGAGACTACTAGTGGCTCCCCACATGTCCTGGGTCCCAGGGACCCCTCCAGTGACCCCATATGACTCCATCCTCTCAAGTCCTGCCCGGAGGACATTTCTGACAAGTCAGTGACATCATGTGACCCCAGCCTCCTGTTTCAGGTCCCCATGCTCCCAACAGAGTGATTCCTTGTGGCCAGGGTGACAACCTGCCTATGTGGCCCGAACATAGGCCCTGTGTCTCCACCTCCATACTGACATCCCAATCTCACATCCCAGGTGACAATCAGATAGCCAGGGTGACCCCCAAATTCCCAGCCCAGGTGGCCCCGCGAGGTGGGTGGGTGATGCGCCTCCCCTGGTATCTCTGATGCAGAGCCTATATCATCCCTCTTGCCACGACCTGGCCCTAGTATCCCCACTTAGCCCCCCCTATTCCCGGCTGTCCTACAGGTTTCTATGTGACGCTGGTGGTGCACCGCTGGTGGAACCAGTACCTATGCATGCCGCTGCCGGACGCGCTCATGTGCGTGGTGGCAGGGACGGTGCACGGACGCGACGAGCGGGGCCGCCTGTACCGGCGCACGCTCATGCGCTACGCCGGGCTCTCGGCTGTGCTTATCCTGCGCTCAGTCAGCACCGCGGTCTTCAAGCGCTTCCCCACCATAGACCACGTAGTGGAGGCCGGTGAGACTCCTGCCTGAAGCGGGGCGGGGGGCGGGGCTGAGAACGGGGGGGGCGGGGCGAGTAACCCCTCACACACCCCGACCTCGCCCCTCCAGGATTTATGACCCGCGAGGAGCGTAAGAAGTTCG